GAATACGGCATATGGTACAGTAACTATTCTAGATGTTGGAAATACAATGGGAAACCTAAGAATCTGCACTTGCAGGGTTACATTCTGGTGGAAGTAGACCATTAAAACATATACTAATAAATTGTGAACTGTCAGGTGGTGATAAGTCTTATGAATGAAGAAGTTTCAGGGGATAGAAAATTATGATGACATTTTATATGAGAGATTAAGAGAAGGTCTGCCTAGCAAGGAGACATTCGAAGTTAACAGAGTGCTCTCTGTGTATGTCTGGAAAGTGTGTTACTGTTAGAGAAAATGGTAAGGGCAAAGTCCTAAGGCATTTTCATGTCTGGTGACCCTGAGGAACAGTATGATCATAGCAAAGTGAGTGAGATAGAAAAGTGTCCAAGAAGCAGCAGGTAGAACCTTGGAACCAATAACTTTAGACTTTAATTCATAAAGACATTACATCTTAACTTAGCTGAAATAGAAAGCAATTTGGGGGTTAATTAGGAGGAGAGACATGATCTTTTATTTAAAATTTGCTCTGGCTTTTTCTTCCTTCTGCATAATAGCATGGAATCAGGACAAGTTGAGAAGCTTTTACAATCATTCAAGAAAAATGTAATGAAGGCCTAGACAATCTAATGCAGAGTGCAAAATTGTGGACCCTTTTAGCAAGACTGCCTGGGTTCATATGCCTGGTCTGCCACTTATAAGCTGAATAATCCTACTTAATGACTTGGTATCTCAGTCCTAGATACAGAAAAGTTGATGAGCAGGTAAAGAGCTTTAGATATATTTGAGATGTCAGTTGGATACTCAAGTTGAAATATAAATTATAGTTGGTAGCTCAATGGGTAGGTTCAGACTGAAGTTAAACATATGGATTGGTCAGAAGATACACCATATTTGAGGTTATGAGACTAGATGCATTCCTCTGGGTGTTAAGCTATCCAGTAGAGTATCTGAGAAGACTATCTTGTAAGGAAGGAGGAAAACCACAAGATAGTGTTATGGAGACCAAAACTAGAACATATTATCCAAAGGAGGGGAGGTTGACTGTGTAAAATTTTGCAGATGGCGATAGGTCAAGTACAATGACTGAAAACTATTAAAGTCAGCCGTGAGGTTGGTCTGACCTTGCTTGGAGTAGTTATGGTAGAGTAATGGGAACAAAAGGCTGCATGAAGAAGGTTCAAAAAGAGGATGGGATGGAAAAAAGAGAGACAGCGAGTTAGGCAAATTTAAAAGTCTGGCTGCAAACAGAAGCAGACAAATGAAGCAATAGCAGAGGGGAAGGAAGATGTGATCCTCCCCAGTGAGATACAGATGCCACTTTTATATGATGGAGGTTGGTGTTGAGTTCATCTTCAGGCTGTAGAATCATGCGTTGAATCAGCAGGGTTGATTAAAATGAATTTTTGTCTCTCCTTATTCTATTGTATTGATTGCTCAATTGTTTAGCTGAAGTCCTCTCTCTTAACAGTCCTTCGAAAGGTTTAGCAATATTTTCTATCAGATTTTGTGAAGGATTAAGTGTCTTTACTTTGCTAGAACAGTGGTTCTTGATATCAGAGAACTTGAATCTTTACAAGTGGTTTTCAACTGTAATTTTGCTGAGCCACAATTTTGAGTTGTTGTGCTATACTATTTTGGTGTTCACGTTATTTAGCTAGCTGACTTCTAGGCGTTACATTTTCACGTATCTCTCTTATCCTTCATTAATCATTACAGTAATCACAACTCTGATGTAATGCTAGAAAGGTATTCTGAGATTTGGGATAATAAGGGTGTAAGGACTAATACATGCAAGTACCAGGGGATATTCTTCTCATCAGAGATCATTATTAACAGATGAACACAAAGTGTGGTGTATTAGTTTGCTAGAACTGTCGTAACAAAATGCCACAGACTGGGTGGCTAAAACAACAAATTTATTTTCTCATAGTTCTGGAGGCTGGAAGCCCAAGATCAAGTGATCCTAGGCTTTTTGTTGTTGTTGCTACACCTCTCTTCTTGGTTTGCAGATGGCTACCTACCTTTCCCCCTGTCTTCATATGCTCTTTCCTCTGTAGGTGTGCATCCCTGGTGTCTCTTTGTATGCTCAAATTTCCTCTTCTTAGGACACCAGTCAGAATAAGACCAGTCATAATGAACCCATTTTAAATCAATCACCTATTTAAAGGACATAGGGCCAAATATAGTCACATTCTAAGGTACCGGAAGTTAGGACTTCAAAATATGAATTTTGGGGGAAGACAATTTAACCCAATCTGTAACACACTGCTTCATTAGTGCAGAACAAGATTTTTTTAAAAGAACGAATAAAAGACTGCATAGAAACAGTTTTGAATACCACTAGTGTCAACTTTGATCAAATGAAAGCTAAAAGAATGAACACATTAATAACTAATGTATGTATCTATCTCATGTATCTGGTCTGTAATGTTTGCATACGTGTGTGTATTAAATATATATTATTAGTCCTGTAAAAAGACTACAAGGAAGTTATTATTCCCGCTTCTCAGATGAGGACATTTGAGCCCTGAACTTTAATCAAGTATTTCATTAAAAGTCTTAAATCTGCAGAGATATTTCAATTATTAAAAGTTTTATATTCAATATATAGTGGTCATGGCAGAGAAGATAGGGATATGCAACATAATTTAAAACATTTTAATAAAAAGTTAAAATGGTAAAATAACTGTGACTTAAAAATGAACTTTAGTTACCTGTAAGATTTTCTTCTGTGCTCCACATTTCCTGATGATTAGAGATAAAAGTGATGATTGTACATATGATAGAAAAATGTTCACATTTTAAACCTAATTCTGTCTTCTGTTAAGTGAAATTTATTTGAGTGAGTAATAATATGAAAATCTTGGTGCAAATTTTGATGAGATGGGGAAAGTTTTAATCAACTTCTCCCTAAAGTGATTGTTAAAACTTTGAGAAAACATGCAAATATCTGAATGCTACAACCTGCTCAAAAATATTTTCTTTTGCAATATACAGGTTATGTGTATCTTGAAATTTAAAATTGTTCTACTAAAACTGAAAATCAGCAGCTAATTATATATACAAGCTATATTTTTGCTTCAATTGCTTTTGCTTGATTTTGAGCTTCCAGTGACACATAGGTGAATCATCAGGTAATAATTTGTTTAGAAATCAAATATTCAGAAACCATGTCTAATCATTAATTTTAGAGCTGCAGAAATGAAGTCAGAGCGCCTTCAATCTATTTGTTTTTTGTATGTGTGTTTTCATGTGAATTAGCTTTCATTGTGCTAAATGTGAGTCCCAAGACTCTATCCATGAGTCTCAACACCAGGTCTGTGCTGGCCGCAGAGGAAGTGTCCTCCCTGAGGTGAAAAAAAAACCACGTTGACCCCATCACCTCCTGGCCCTTAACCACACCCAGAGAACCACAGTGGCCCCAGCTTGAGACAGGTGGCCAAGGTGGGCAGGGAAGCCTCCTAAGTAATATGAAGGTAGGGCCCTGTCTCTGCTGGTAGTTCATGAATGTGTGTGGTCGACTTACTGGCCCAGTTTGGGTAGAGTGATACTACTTGGTTGAACGAATGGCAAGGGATGAAGGTTGTCCTGGACCTCAGGTGTGCTGCCCTGGCCATGGGTTCCCAGGTACGATGTAGAAAAATTTGGAGTTACTCTGGGGTGGAGGCTTCCTTAGGAGAGTGTGGAGTCACCCCATTCCCTTTGGGAAGGGACAGGTCAGGATAGGCTGGGCTGGGACCTGTGGTGATCCCAGGCCCTGATTTGCTCCTGCCCCTGGAAGTCTTTGGGCTGAAGCCCATGGACACAAGAGAACATGGCTGCTGGAGTCATAGGCTCCCCATCCCAGGTCCCTGCTTCTTCATAGAAGGAAAGAGAGGCACCATAGCAAAGGAGAGAAAAGATGTAGCAGAAGGCAGCGATAAGGGAGTAGAAAGGTAGAAGATGATGAGGAAAGAGAAGGGGAGAGAAAGATGGGGAAGGTGGCAGGTAAATGAAGATGAAGCGTCTAAGAGAAGCCTACAGAAGTGAGAGATGAGGCAGCTGGGAAAAGGCAGAGAGCAGGGGGGGAGAAGGCAGAGGTCCTCTGGGAGAAGGAGGTAGGCCAAGCAGAAGGGCCTTGAGGCAGAGTTGAGGTCCTCTGACTTGGTCAACTCTGACAGCGTCTTCAGTTGCTTCTTCAGCTCCAGCAGGAACTTGTAGCACCTCTCACACATGGGCTTCCTGTCGAAATCCACAGCCTCTTCTTCAGGACCAGCCTGTTGTTGCATGTGGAGCAGGAGCAGCAATCATGCAACAGGCCTTGTTGAGGGCCAACACCGTGTCCTCCTCGATCACATGGCTGCAGTTGTAGCAGATATCCCCAGTGGGCTGCTTGTTGTGGATTTCACAGATCAGGCCCTTCTCCCAGTGCTGGTGTCCCTGGAATGACTTCTCCCACTTGGCGCAAAGTGCTTCACATGCCATTGCTTGCCCAATGCATTGATCATGTGACTTCTGATGGGCTGGCAGGTCCCACAGATGGGGATGCCCACTTTGTCATGGCGGGGTTCACCCTCCATCTCATGGGCCTCAGCAGTCAGCTCCTTCCTACAGTGGGTACAGGGAAGTGGCCTACGTAGCAGGTATCGTACCTGAATGGGGAGGGCTGCTCATCAATGACCAGAGGGCACTGATAACAGATATTGCTTGCCCAGGTCCTTGGCCTTCTTTTGGTTTGGCAAGACCAGCAAAGGTGTCTGTAAATCTGGGGCTGTACGATGTGCCTTGCAGGGGTATGGCTGGTTGGCACCTGGGTCAGTCTAGGCCAAAGAGTGTCTAGATGCCTGACCCTCACCAAATGGACCTTTTAAGTAAAACAATATTCATACTGATGCATTTGGAAAAAAACCAGCCAGCTTGAAGTATTCATTGCATTTACATTTTGTAGGAAAAAAAGGATAATTGATTTGATTTGATAGTAATAGCCTTCAACTTCTGAAAATAATGGACAAAAGCAACAGTTGCATTCAAGTAGACTTGCAAAACAATTTTAATTTTTACTCAAAATATATGAGATGTCATCATTAGCCCTTATCTTACACTTGAAAAATGGAGACAATTGTTTGGGAAAGGAAGGGCAAAGAAGCTATTAGGCTTTAAGCTCAAGTTTTAAGAAAAATTCAGATAAGGCAGGTAAAAATCCCAGATGCTCACCCACTGTCCAACAAGGTCAAACATATTAATTTCTATATACCTTTTTATTTCATAAAAATATCATTAATTAGAAATAATAGCATGTTTAAGATTAGCTTTTCTTTCTAAATAAGATGATTTCTTGCTTTAAAGAACGGCTCCGTAATAGTGCCACCTAGTTCATAAACTGGCCTGCAGTTTTGTAGTTTCTTAAAATTCTATTTGGATTTAAAGAATAAATATCACACACTCGTGGTGAACTATTTAACCACCACCCAATACAAGTGGTCAGTATTTTACAATGAAGGACTTCATAGCACTTAACAATACATTCCTGTATTATGACTGGACTAAAGTATGGGCCTTTGTATTATAGACACATTCTGACAAGAAAAAAAACCTAAAATAGGGGAAAAATACTAGGAATAAAACTTAGTTACACAAAATAATTTTAATATCAAAGTTCGCCAAACCTAATACAATCTGAAAGAAACTGTTGCCCCTAACATGAACTATAATTAGATATCATTGTCTGTCTTAGGAAAATTGCCAATTCAGTAACCGATATTTATGTGGAAATAAAAAATAGAGGGTTTTTGTCATTATTCATAGGCACAAGGAGAAAACCACCATTTCTTTGTTAAAAAAAAAAAGACTAGAACAGATAGTCCCCAAATGTGTCGCACAGGTACACCATATACCACCCCTCTACCACTCAAAAAGGTCGTAGGTTGTGTGCTTCCAGTTAATCCTCACAATTCAGAGAAAGGCATTACAACCTCACAATAAGAAACACACACAAAAAGATTTTAAAACCTCAAACAACACAACAACAAGAGCAACAAGACCCTGTGATGATGAATTTTGTTCGTACCAAAAGCATAGTTAGGAGGTCTAAAACATTGCTTGCATATAGCGACAGTGCAAATGGCATCCAAGTCAGATCCCACAGATACAACCTCCCCGATGCAGTGTAAATTTCCTCTTAGCAGCCACTGACAACGAGCTCAAGTGTAGTGAATCTATACTGTGGCTGATTCTCTGACACCATAAATAAGAGTGGTTCATGCCATTATTCATGTCTGTTGGCTGAATATTCCTCTTGGGAAATACTTTGACATTGGACTTTTTTCAATTACAAATTCTGGTCATTAGTGAACTGGAATGAATCTTAGCTTACTTCCTTTTGTCACAGAACATTTGCTAGCTCCTTGCCTCTTTTTTAAAACCCAGTGTTGTTTGTTAGGCAGCCATTAAAATAAATCCTCCTGCTTTTTAATCATTTCCCTTCCTTTTCCCCATGGTGGGTCTTATGTAAACCTAAAGACATATAGTAATTTAATATACAAGGTTTCTCAAAGTGCAAAATATGTTACAGATAGTTTCATAGGCTTCATCTAAACACAACACTTTATACAATACAGTACAGTTTGAGATTTCTGCTCATAAATTATACCACTTAACAAACAACTACTTTAAAAGACTACTTTAAGTAACCCAATGTCTTCTTACACAAGGTTAATACAATTAAACTTTACAAGCTTTGTTCAGACCAAAATAAAGTTAATCTTACACTTAATCACATATATACATATTTTAAAATGTTCTTTAAATGCTTAAGTATAGATAGATACATTTCTTAAGTACACACAGACAAATTTGCCTAGAAATAGGTAAATTCTCATAAATTATTTTATAGTTTGGTTTCTGGTTTACATACAAACACTGCATATAATATTAAAAAAATAAATTGGGAAATCATTTTATTTCTTTCTTCAAAATCTGTTCATCCTGTAACTCTCTTGTAAGGGTTCTTGATCGTTGTAGAACCACACTAAGTTCTTCAATTACCTTCGATGGTAACTTATGATCAGAGTCCAAAGTAGCTTTGCTATGCCTGTCCTCAGCCTTCCTCAATGGCTTTAGGACTTTGGAGCCTTTTTGTTGCACCTGTGAGGTCATAGCATCTGTGTCCTCCAGGCAGTTGAAACTCCGATGTTTCCGGGTTCGATTACGAAGTTTATCATCCTTGTGTTCCAGGCAGTGAGCCACGATGGAGGCCTTCTCCTTCAAGCTGGAGTCCACAGACTCTTTATTATGCTTTTCACTAAGCCTCAGCCTTTCGAGTTCTGCTCTTGCACTCTAAAAATAAAATAAAATGTCTCACAGGAAAGCAAGATTTGGCACAACTTAGTTTAATAAGTTTATTCCACATAGAAGTTGATGTTTCCTATAAAATAGCTTATTTCTATGATTTAGGTCCTAACTTTTCTTTGATACAAGTGGCATGTCTGAATTTATATACTAATCTTAGAGCTACAAAATGAAGCACAGACGGTCCACAACTCAACAATACTTCAGCTTATGATAGTTTACCACGACGCAAAAGCAATAAGCACTCTGCATTCTGTAGAAACTATACTTCAATTTTGAATTTTGATCTTTCTTTCTGGCTAGTGATATGTGGTAGGGCACTCTCTCATGATGCTAGGCCACTGCCATGAGGCACAGGTTCCAGTCAGCCACGTGATCACGACAGTAAACAACTGATACTTAGTGACCTGTGCTGCTACACCATTTTGCCCAGCTGTAGGCTAGCGTAACTGTTCTGAGCACGTGGTAAGGTAGGCTAAGCTAGGCTATGATGTTTGATATTTCCTGTTTATGATATTTTCAACTCAAGGTGGCATTATTCCTATGTGACCTCATCATAAGTTGAGGAGCATCCGTAAAGTGGAAATCCATTTTAACACACATTTAACATACCACTTCAAAGATGTCTTTCAAGTTAGTTATTCAAACTGACTCTCATTTCGAACATGCCTCTTCTAACTCCCTCCTGCTTGGATGTGTCACACGTGACATGCATCTGTAGTTCCTACAGTGTTGGAACCACAGCACTGAGGAATAAGGTGGTCTCCATGGCCACTTGAGCCAGGGAAATGCCGTGTACTCCAGTCCCTTCTTCCAGATCCACCAGTTACATATTAAAGATGCTGATAAGTATTATGGCAGAAAAATTGTCTAACTTCTTTCTCCCATTTTTTTCCTCCTCCCAACATATTTAACTAGTGAACATAATGCTCACGAAAATTTCCCAGGTCTAATTTTGAAAACACTGAAATGTATATATATTTATGTATTAAAATCACCCTTTGTGTAACTGGATTCAAGTGCACATTCACTCAATGAACCGTAAGGCTCCACAGATACCAGTACATCACGATAAGACACCTGTAGTGGTCTAGAGGTGGACTTTTTAAACTGGCCTTCATGATATTTTGTGACTGGGCAATAGCTAGTGCACAGAGCTTTCCTTGGATACTACAACTTAGTCAAGAATGTGATTTAAGAAATAACAACAGAGAACCAAACATATAGGATAGGAGGCCACAGAGAAAGGCTACCCAATAAACGGAGTCAGAATGCAGGTGGTGGGGAGAAAAGAAAAAAGTTTCCCTCATCCTCCTTGCCCAGTTTTCTTTAAAATTTCCTCAGTGAATACTACAATGCAGAAATCTCAAAGAGACCTTATTAAGTTTGGAATGTTTGAAAGAGAGAAAATGAAATGACAACTATATTACTTAGTAGCACAAACAATACAGTAATTAAAGATGTCTAATATAATAATGTTTAAAAGACAATACTTCACTTTCCCCTATTTTGTTTCTCTATAAAACTTATCATTTTCTAACAGTAAGATAACCAGAAAAGTTATTCAATCTCCTGTGATTGTCTAAAATGTCCTGCTAAAAAAATCAACTCAGTGTAAACAGGATTTTTGTTTTTTACTTGTGTTTGATTTGTTCATTAAAGTATGAATCTAGTACAGTGCATGCACATAGAAAACAATCAGTAAATATTTTGTGAATAAAAGAAGTTTAAAATTTTTCAAGTATATATCATCCTGTTCTATTTTCTCTAATTCCAATAGATCCAAGCATAACATTGCAGCAGAAAAATTCAAGCTGAATAAAAACATTTTCATGGCTATGGATGAGATTATGATCATACATCTTAAGCTAAACACACGCCGTCTATGCTGAAATTTACATGAAAATATATTTAATAGCTAGCTTAACTCCAAAGTTTCATTAGGATATATTAAAATAGTAAGAGATATAGTGGTGATAGTTGAGCAATAATGTAAATGTAACCAGCAGTTACATTCTAATACTGTAACTAATACTGAATTGTATTTTTAAATGGTTAAAATAGAAAATTTTATATTACAAGTATTTTACCACAAGAAAGGGTTTATAAACAAACATTAATCTTGTTTCAAAAAGTTTCACTTGCCATAAATTACTTGAAAAAATCAAGAATAAGTATAGACGTTTTATATATCAGATTAACAGTTCTCAGTATCTTTCAACTATAAGCAGAAAGACTTTTGGGCTCTTTTACATGCAGAGATGAGGGGGTCAGGTAGTAACACAAACAATGCTGAAATTTCAAGTACACTATAACATTAGCCTAAATATAAAGCCTTATATGAAGGTGGGGAGAGGTGACAGAAGTGTTAAGAGTTGGAGCAGGTATGTCCATCCTTTTGGCTTCCCTGGGCCACAGCAAGTAACATTTGGGCTTCCGTGATATGCACTGAGTAAAAGGGGATTGCCTTGGGCAACACATAAATGATATAATGCTGTCAGTGTATATGCATAATAAGACCTTTAAAATATATATATACATATATTTGAATTTAGAAAAATGAGAGCAATATAAAACTAGGTGAAAATTTGCCTTTGTTTTTGTGAAATGAATCTATCAATGTCTTGTTTAATGGAAGTGTTCACAATTCTTAGTGAGTTCTCAAGGTGCTTGTCAGAAATGTTTGTTCAAATTTCACACTTCATGTGCTTCAGAATTGAACACAGCTGTTCACAGATGTATGTGCCGCCAAAAAATGAAGTCATGAATAAAGTGTGACTGTGAACTTCAAAAAAGGAACTAAGTACGGGGCCATGAAGAAAATATTGAAAAAAACATATGATGTTAAAAGATTTTGTGGGGTTGTATGCAGTCTACCAGTCATGGGTTGGACATGTCTGCATTAGAGAATGGGAGAGTGAGGAAGAACAGGAAACCATGAGCACACAGATACTAGGGAAAGAAAAAATAATTTATTCTCTGCACTGTCCTTAAAAGAATAGGTATTAATAATTTAAAAAGAGAAAGAGAGAGATAAGGCATGAAATCAGGAGAGCAAGAGATGGCTTGCTGCAGGCAATGCCAGTTCAAGTCACAGAGCATTTGTTTAAATGGAAAAAGATGATCTCAAACAGAGTATCTGCCCCAGCTGCAGAGAGAGCAGTTCCTATTTGTCACAGCCAGAGCAAGGTACAGTGAATGAGTTCTCAAAGCAAATCATTCATGTGGCTTTAGTTTGTGCCCTCACATTTTCCATTAAATCCAGAGATGCAGGCCAGTGGTTACAGAGATCTCATAACAAAAAGTAATATGACTGACATGTACAGATTACACTAGAAACTCTCTTAAGTGACTTTCATTACCAAACTCACTGTACCAGTTGATCATCTTGTTATAAAATATATAATCATATCCCTAAATTTAACCCTCACAATAATTCTTTAGATGTTGTAAATGTTATATGCTTATTCACAGTTTAAAGTACATTATCTATATTTTAAGGTGAAGAAATTCAAAGAAATAACAATTTTCCCAAGGTCACCTAAGCAAGAATCTGGACTGGGACCTCAGCCTGGCATTTCTGAAACCAATGTGCCCTCCTTCTGCAAACTTTGCTCCAGGATACTAACAGGGAAGAGACACGATTAATGGGTGGAATTCCAGGTCACTATTTTCGCCATAATTTTCCTTTGCTCCTTATTTTTATTTGTTTTACAAATGTCATTCCTAAAAGAAATGGCAGTTTTGAAAACTAGTGAATTATCACACATTATTTTCCAAGTTTGCTTTTTTGTATCAATATATGTTAACTATATGCCAGGCATTAATCTAATAAGTTATTATGTATAATGTCATTTAATAATCACAGTAATCCTATAAAATAGGTTTTTATTAGCCCCATGTGCTTACAGATGAAACTGAGGACAAGAATTACATAAGGTACCCCTGATTTTCCAAGGATTAAGCAGGAGTACCACACAAATGTTCAGTTTGTGTGTTCATAAGCATTATGCTTGCCTCTTCGTATGTGATTTCCTCTGTCCACAACTTACTTTTCCTGGCATGTTAGGCTGGTTGACTACTCATTTACCCAAGTAAGTACAGATTTCATTCCCTCCCCAAAGCCTTCTCTGCCTGGATAAAGTACACTCATTTGACTTTCTTTCTTTCTTTTTTTCCTGAGTCAGAGTCTTACTCTGTAGCCCAGGCTGCAGTGCAGTGGCATGATCACGGCTCACCATGGCCTCGAACTCCTGGGCTCAAGAGATCCTCCTGCCTCAGCCTTCTGAGTAACTGGGACTACAAGTATGACCCATGATACCCAGTTAATTTTTTTATTTTTGTGAAGAATGAAGTCTCACTACATTGCCTAGGTGAGTTTTGAACTCCTGGGCTCAAGCACTCCTCCTGTTTTGGTCTCTCAAAGTGCTAGGATTACAGGTATGAGCCACCATGCCCAGCCTCTCATATGACTTTCTTTTCTTTGTTTTTCTTTTTTTACTTATTGTAGAGACGAGGTCTCGCCAAGTTGCCTGGGCTTGTCTCGAACCCACGGGCTCAGGCAATCCACTCGCCTCGGCTTCCAAGAGTGCTGTGATTTCAGGCTGAGCCCATAAGTCCAGCCTCATATGACCTTCAACAGAACCTAATGAAATCCAGGCCAACTCACCTCATTTATCAATCTGTCAACAACTTTTATGAAAAAACAATTCTTTTGGCATATATTCACTGAAATAACTCTTTTTTTTATGAGTATATTCTACAAAGTAATATTGTAAGTCATTTCCATTTTTAAAACAAAAAATAAAAAATAGTCTATATATAAATAAATAAAATAGAGAGTCAGGGTCTTGCTTTATTGACCAGGCTGGTCTCCAACTCCTGGCTTCAAGTGGTTCTCCCAATTCAGTCTCCCAAAGTTCTGGGATTACAGGTATGAGCCACTACACTCAGCCTTATAAATATATTTTCTTAGCCAGGCTTGGTGGCTCAGCCTATAATCCCGCACTTTGAGAGGCTGAGGTGAGTGAATTGCCGGAGCCCGTGGGTTTGAGACCCGCCTGGGCAATTTGGCCAAACCTCATCTCTACAATAAATCAAAAAATTAGCCAGGCATGGCAGCACGCGCCCGTAGTTCCAGCTACTTGGAAGGCTGAGGCGGAAGGATCGCCAGAACCCAGCAGGTTGAGACTACAGTGGCCGGGTGCAGCCACTGCACTCCAGTCTGGGTGACAGAGTGAGACTCCAACTAAAAAATATATATATATATTTTCTTAAATATTTACACAAATCTAATTTATAAAAAACATTTTAATAGTTCACATAAAAAATATTACTTTTGTATTAATGCCTTATAAAGTAAGTTCAATGTTTTTCCAACACTGGAGCATTTAAAAAATGTCTTTACTAAATTTGTAAAATCAATAGTTGCTAATTTTACAAAAAAAGCTTGATTTATTTTTATGACTCATACATTTCAGACAATTAATATTGCATGGGATTATTTTAAGACACCTTAACAATATCTTTGTAGCTTTAATTCGTCAACTTTTCTGTTTTAAGTATGTTAAAAAATTGTCTCTGAAATTGTGGATTTGGAATTAAGTTAATAAACTATTGTATAGCTAATCATTGTCTATACTAGATACTGGTTAATGTGATTTGATACTAATAATTTATCTTTAGTTTTGCTCCATAATTGATCTAAGGCAATGTCAAAATAAGCTGCAATGTTGTAGGACACACCTATTCCCTACGTTAGTTTCATTTGCTCAAACTGTCCCCTGATCTGGGTACTGGGAAATGAGACTCTTAGAATTTTAAGATTCCAGATTAGCTAAGGAACCCAAAACTCTGCAGAGCCATTTATTACCAGGAAAAATTGCAGGTGCAGAATGGAAAACGGAGGAAAGTCATGATTTCTTGGAGACTTATCACTTCCTTGGATTATTTAGTGCAGAAGGACTGTGTTGTAAACAAAGGGCCATTAATTTTGAAGTTAGAGAAATATTACAGTGGTATAAATGTTCAAGAAAAGATATGCACAAAAATATTTAATAATCATCTGATCACTACATTAAAATGGCTTTAGTTTTTCAAAAGTTTGGAGAACAAGAGATTCAAACAGTTTAATCCCAAATTTAGGCTCCAAAAGGATATAATAACACTTTTTAAATCCTGAAAAACACATTGGTCCTAAAGTGGCTAAGGAGTTTTGAGAGTAAACAGCCTATGTCCTTTGCTGAAGAAACCAAACTTCAGATCAAGATTTATGCTGTTTATGTTCTCCCACCCATCAAGGTGGGAAGGAAAACAAATAGCAGCCTTCAGGAAAGATGCCAAATCTTCTTTACTGATGCTCAGGGGTCTTCTTGAAGTTCCTTAAATTAACTGAGACACCCTATTGGTTCTCAAACCCCTGGAATTTGATTATGTTAGTAGAAAGTCTAGCTGCCATGGGCTCTGCTGGTGTTATAAGTAAACTTGTAAGGCTAATTTGAGACCATAATTTAACCACCAGAATTTCTATAAACACATTTGACATTGGCTGACTACTTTAGAGGTAAGAAAATAAGTAGTAGTAGCATTGTACCTATGTAATTGGTGGCCAGTGACATTAAATGAATAGACATAGGGTTATTTAGAATGTTTTCTTGATGTATATAATCATTACTATGTTTTCAAAGTGATTATTATAGTGCTTTTGAAGCTAATAAAGTAATTAATGTACCTAATCACATTAAGACACAGGAAGACAAATTCTGTAATTGAATACAGAACAAACAAATTCTAACCTACCTCAATATTCCTCTGGGCTTGGGTTGCATTCTTTTCATGCTGGATGGGAATTAGAGGCAAACCTCCAATTTTGGGATTTTTTGTTATTGAACGTTTTCGTTCCTTTCCAGCTGGTGGCCATATATCGTTTTCATGCTGTGGAAACAGAATTTCTTGCTTTTGGTGTGTGATTTTTATTATGCAGTACACCATGTTATATAGACACTTGGCTCTCTTTCCATATACACATCAAATGATCTGCTTTCCATGAGAATGCTATTTGTAATTATGATGTTGACTCTGGTGGCAACATCGCTCCAGGACGTGAAACTCTTAAGTGAACTGAGCTTTGAGGTCTCAGTTCAATTTCTAAGTTTCAAATACATGCTTTCTGTACTACTTATCAAACCTAAGGGGGAAAAATATTTGAGGAAACTGGGAAATCTCTTTGTGGAAGAAAAATAATACACTTGTCTGCATCTCTAGGCTCTGTAATCTAAGTAACTATATACATTTATTCTCTCTCTACACCAAAGATTATTTTAGTGTAAAAATAATTTGATCTTACATACCCCAAATCGACCTAAGGCATGACTATAGAAACATTAGTCTCATTTCATGACCTTTTGAAAAATGCTACTTTTTCATCTAATTGAATTCCAAAGAAATGTTACCTGTTTACCCAAACATTTGTACTGAAAATCATTGTACAACAGAGAGTGTGCCACATTTGTTCTCAAGTCATTGACTATATGTTCTGGCCCACTAAACAACTACAGATATGGCTGAAGAAAAGTTAATTTTGCAAAGAGGATAAATGTCCACAGGTAAAAATAAGCTCTGGAGTGATTAATCCTTGAGATATACATATAAAAGAAAAATCTTTAAAGAATTTTTCTACCCCTCAGGGTAGATTAATTTTTCAGAATTTGGGCAAAGCAAACTTATTTTCAGATAACGAACTATGAAAGAAATACAGAATACCAAGTATAAAATGAAAAGTTTATAGATGTTCTAGTGAAATGAAATTCATTTCATAAACTAGATAGTGAAATGTCTACCATTTATTTTTCTCAATTCTTAAGATATATCAGTAGATTCTTGTTCTTATATCATAGTTAGTACTTTAATGTATTGTTTTAGAGTAAAGAAGTCATTTAAACAAATATTTACTGAGTACTCATTATATAATAATAGCTAAATATATTGAGAGGCATACTGTCAGCCTTTGTGTTTGTCAATGTATATATATTCTAGTTTTCATTTAATCCTCAATGATTCTAAGTGTAAGTTATTATTAGATACTGTGTATGTGTATAATATCTAACCTTGAATTTTAGTGAAGCATTTGCCTTGGTTCAGCAAATCTATAATGGTAGATTATTAAATATTTCAATGAGAGACAGTTAAAAGTTTCATAATATTATTTTTACATCATGGTATCAAACATGGTAAAAATTACTTTAATATTATATAATTATATAATTAGGATAGTCCCAACATGTAAAAGCTGGGAGAAAACTGACTTAGAAAAAAATTAGATAATTCTGTTAGAATTACATTTACACTTTCAAACGTATACTATATACGCTACAAGATAATTCGGAGAATCTAAGAGCAAATGTAGCTCCCAAATACATATTTCTTTGTCTGAAATAATATTCTAGAGTGTGAATGTTGGCTAATTAGCTCACTGGATTGATCTAAGAGGCATTTGTTCCAACAGCAGAAATCTTTAGATCTAAGTTCTTCTGATTTAACATTTGAAGTGATTTGTAAATGACTTCAAAAGTCACACAGCATGGATCATACAGGTGAGGATCATACTTTTCATTTTATAACCAATGATCACACTCAAAATCTCCTTTTATGTCACCCACTTTCTACCTTTACCTAACTATTGTTTTAGTTAACTTAGTTTCATTAACTTTAAGTATTCTTTTGACTCCTTGCGACTTCCAATCTATTCGTCACCACCATTCTTGTTGCCACATTTTTTTCCATTTCCCTCATAGCCTGGCTTAGAGTTCATAGCCAATCAGTAAACTCAACTTCCTTGTGCATATCTTCAAGTCTAACTTGTATCTGATTACTTATTTATTTTCTTGCACTCCTTCTTTCTATGGCATACTTGCCTGGCACAGTCTCTAACCTAGTTAAACACAATTCTACTTATTCCATGGGTGTCTGACAGTTGATGGAGGACAAAAAATAGATTTCTCTCAGATTCATCTCAATTTAAATTTAAACTTAAATTTAAAGTGCATATTCAGCACTACCTTGAAGTACCATAGGACAACTGGCTTCCTTACTCTCTGAAGATTCTTTCCTTTTCCTTTGTCCTTACTCTTCTAAAACCCCTCCAAGTCTCACATATGGTAACTCACTGATTTAATTCAAAATTATTACTAATCACTTAAGAAAATAATTTTCCCACCATGCAATGTACCAGTCTTTCTGCATCTATAGTCACATAAATGAGCTTTTTACCCCCATGCAATCAGTATTTGCTCTGATTGCAAATAACTTTTCTCCAGTCATATCTAAAATTCTCAGTAGATCAGAATATATAGTCGATACTTTGAGAACAAATGTTCCACACTGTCTGTGGTACAATGATTTTCAGGAATGATGAACAGCTGAGCACTTGAATACATTGCTTCATGTCTGTTCAGGGCCTCTGTTGGTTTAATAACCTTGTTCTTCCTCTGTCAATTTCTTCCTCCCCCTTCTACCAATTTCTTCCTCCAAATTCCTGTATTGTCTCCATCAGAATATCTGCAAAATATATACTCTTCCATCTTAAAGAGAAAAAAAAATCAAAACTTTAAAACCTATCTTGACCACTTGCTCCTATCTAGTCACAACCTCATTTATATACATGCCCAATTATTTGACAGAATTTTCTGTACCCATCACCTGGTTATTTTTTCTTCCTCAACACTTACCATTTCTTTTGTTGCTTTTTCTCTTTTGCTTAACCTATACATTTTGGAATATACCAGAGCATATTCATCTGCTCACTCTCCTTCCCTCTCTTCTTTGGCATCTCATCCAATTCTACAGCTTTCGATATAATCTAAGTGCTGACTTCTCCCAACTTTCTATTTCAGCCCCAAACCTTTGCCTGCATTTCTGACATACTCCAACCTGCTACTCAGCATGTGAATTTGTATATCTAAAGGCATCTCAAATTTCATGTGGCCAAAACAGGATTCTTGACTTCCTTTTACATCTCTGATAATCCTTAAATTCACCAGTTGCCCATGGCCAAAAACCTAGGACTCTTTCCTGGTTTCTGCTCTTTTGCTCACACTGCTATAGCCAATCAACCTGAAAGCCTTATTGGCTCCACCTTCAAAATATTCCTGAATCTGGATACATCTTACTATACCCACAGTTACTCTAGTCAGAGCTGACAAGCTGTTCATCTTGCTTCCGTATTTGACCTACTACACCACAGCTTCAACAAAGTGCACAAAATTATTTTTTCAATTAAGATAATTCAGATTATACCCTTCCCTTTTTCAAACTCTTAAACAGGGTCTACATGATATGTCCCCTGCCATTCTCATCTTAAAATCTTCCCACCACTATGTTCATGGGGAAAAAATCATCATGATGATGTCTCAGGACCTGGCCCTGCGGACTCCTATCCATGAATGATCCCTCCTGGATGCCTGCATGATTTGCCCCCTCATTTCAGATGGGTCACAGCTCACCTGTCACCTACTCAAAAAAGCTCTTTCCTGAGAGCTTTTCTCAATTAGTGCCTTTCTGTACCTTATTCACTCACTCTCTCCTTACCCAACACATTCTATTGATTGTATTCTCTTAGCACATGGGTATCCATCCATTTGAAATGTTATCTGATTGCTTATCCCCTCTCTATTTTAGAAATACTAACTGAGCACATACTTTACATGTGAGCCAAATAAAACGAACTGAGTCCTGATTTTCATGGCGTTTACATTTTAGTACAAGAGATAGACATGAAATAGGTCATTACAAACTTTTTAAAGTTAGCCACAGTGGAGAAGTGCAAGATGCCAAGGGTGATAGTCTGATTGGTCCGAAGGTCAAGGAAAGTTTCTCTGAGAATGTGATATTTAAGCTAAAATCTACAGACTTCTTGAGGTAGGTGTGGAGATGGGGATGGATTTTACAAAAGTATTCTGGGTACCAGAAATAACTGATTAAAGGGGTATTTACTGTTAAATTAGCGTGTGTGTGTGTGTGTGTGTGTGTGTGTGTGTGTACATAAATGTTAGCATTTGCTATTTTGCTGTTTCCCTACAGAGATGAGACATAAGTCCTTAAATCCAAGAGGGCCACCGTGTTTGACTTAAGATAACTGAATTTAAGAAATTGAATAATCCCAAGATGTAAAACGAACAGAGGAAAGATAATTAGGCTAACTCTTTGGGACCAGAACAGAGAAGGGCATGTGAGGCAAGAAGAAATAACCTGCTTATTGTGCCTCTTGGTTATTCCTTCTGTGACTTTCAACTACCAAGTCCACTGAGTTCAATTATAAAAACAAAAACATCAATTTAATTGTGCCACAAACAGACATTTTAACAGCATTTGACTCTATGGTCTCAGCTTTACTAAAATATTTCAAATCCATTTCTAAAGTAGAATTTAAATACCTAAATTTCTAAAAGTTACAAATAAGAAGAAAAGCATTCAAAAAGTTAGCAGCCAGTCTCTTCCTGCGAATGTGTTCTCAAGTAGTAATAGTAGAGGCAGGCTGAGAAGAGCCATGTTTATTAACCACTGGAAAGGGTAATAAATTAAATGAGCAGAGAAAATGGTTTTCAAAACAAATAAGGACTAGACTTTGGGGTGAGTTAACTTCTTCCTTGTAAGAGAAACAGGAAAGTACTTCCTCAGTAATAAAGAATGGCAACTTAATCGTTACCAATGAATTTCAATACTCTTTGAGAAGCATTGTTGGGAATTCAGGTAGACAAGGTTGGGAGAGAAACCAATATAGTTAATGGGACCATTTAACCCTTCCCAGAAGGGGTGAGTCTTCCTCTAGGGAGGAGACCAAATGCAGAATTGGGTATAAGCACTGACCTCAGACAACCCAGGATAAACTACTAACTAAATATATGGTCCTGAGCCAACAACAAAATCCGTTTTGTAAAGCCAAACAATGTCATGCACGATTTGCTGCAAAGAATACATGAGTTACTCTCACGAAGTAGCTGGCGCATTAAAGAAATGTAGGTTCCTGTCTTTGTTTCTGGAAAGGCAGGGGTGGAGAGAGTGGGAGAACAAGAAGAGATATAGAACACTTTTCTAAATGAAGGTTTATGTGGGACTCTGGAAGGATGACAGCTTAGACAAGTCCCTCTTTCCTACACAACCATCTTAAAGCAATACATCTCGCCTAAATCAAGGAAGCTGTGGGACTGGCAAAAAGCAGTTATTAAAGAGGACAGACTGGTTAAAGAACAAATTTGGGTTTTAATGCACTATTTAAAAAATACGGAAGAAAGAATAAAGGTTTATACCAATTGTATACAGCTTAAACACTTATTAAAAATTATTTGAAAATCACCACCACACTAATATTTCCTGTAAACAAAGTTATTATACAATATCAGATAGTTGAAACAAATCTCCTCTTACTTGAGCTATAAAGACGCTGGCCATCCACTCCATTTGAGTTTGTGAACTATCACAACACAAGTGCCTGCAAAACAAGGTTTAAAACATACATCACTAATAGTAGTCAATATCTCCTGGGGAATGGGGAGGGCACACCTCATCGATAAGGATACTTGCTCAATGAACATTTGTATACCTAACCCTGAACTGTACCCCATAATTTCAAAATAAAAATAAAACAAAAACAAAAAACAAACAAACAAAAAAACATACATCACTTAAAAAGACAATGGACTATTCTCTAGTGTATTTGCTTGGTAATTTAGTGACCCTCTTTGGGTCTCTCCTGATGAATAATAATGCAATTGAAAGTGCAAAATTTCAGTACAGGTTGTTTCAGTCTTCTACTAAGTATACAGTAGGAAGTGGCAGTATACATCTGCTGGTTTAAACAAAATACAGCTAAAGACTTTGGTATCTGCTGCGAGATGATCAGCAGTATTTTTGGAAAGGCAGAAAGGTCAATGCCATTTTGGTTTTTTAAGCACTTGATGGTGAAAACAGCAACAACAAAAACAAATATTTTGTCCAGAAACTATGAGCTTCAGAAGAAAAATATGTGCACATTCTTTTAAGAGCAGATTTTTTTTAAAAGGCCAAGACACAGTCACTATCATTATGATTATAAATGTTAATACTCACAGACTCATGAAAAATAAACCATACAAAAACTGCTGCATATCCAATAATACTGACTCACTAACCTTTTGTGGAAAACCTAAATAAAACAGATCTTGCCCTCAAGGCTCACATAGTCTATTAGGGGAGCATGCAAACAAATACATTATAACACAGTGAGAAAAAGCAAAAATAAAATTGAGCACAAACATGGAGACAACAGACTTGGAAATGAGGAGAGGGTTGTTTTCTATAAGAGGAAAATTTTGTAACTGATGATATAACAATATAATGGACATTTTAATGTCCATTATATTGTTTATATTCCTGTATTATGAAAACTAATTTGCTTGAAATGCCTAAAGTGAAATTTCTAAAAAATGCTTGCTTCCTTCATTAGAAACTCATGAAAACATTTCCCATTACCATGTCCAAGAAAAATGCTCCCACCCCAAATCATTTTATTCATTCATGTATATAACATATTGTGAGGTGCAAAGAAGAAATAAATAATGATTAAAGGTGGGAGGTATCAGATAAGAATTTGGGGCATTTGAGATGTGGTTTGAAAGAACAAGGACAGTTGAATCTGCTGGGTTATCAGTTGAATCTGCTGCGTCATGGAAGACATGAGAGGAAGGAGCAGCGAACACTACAGAAGAGGGTTCATCCAAGGGTCTCCCCCCATATATCACACACACAGATATCAATCAGCTAGGAGAACAGCGAATTAAAGACAGATGGAATCATGTATGTATGGCCTTGCATGCCACACCAACAATCCAGTATTTTACTCTGCAGGTGAAAGGATTCACAGAAGAGCTATAAAGCAGGAGAGAAAAAATGATACAGTGTAGAAAATCTCTTTGGTGGCTGGGTGGAGAATGTACTAGAAAATACAAACAAAGTAGAGGCATGAAGAGCACTTAGAACTCCTGGAATAACCCAGGCAGGACTATGAAGGCCATGAGGCTGGACAGGTATGGATGGGTTAGGGCAGATCTGGTATGACTCAGTGACTGATTAGACTCAGACAGGTGATGGAGAAGGAGACATTTGGCACAGTCTCTAGGGAGACTGGCAGGACACTGCTGACAGTATATTTTTAAAAGTACATATATAGAAAAAACAGGTTTGAGACCAGGAGATATATTTTTCTTAAACCTGATTTAGCTAGTTCTTAGCCTTTTTTAAAAATGAGTTTTGCCTATTTATCTCATAAAATCTGAATTCTACACCCATATAATAACTATGGAAGAAATTAGATATAGTTTCTTTTAAGCGACATTGCCAAATAAGATACAAAAGATTGAAACGGATGTGAACCCTGATGCAAATCTGTTTACCTCTTCTTAGGCTCAAAGTATTTAGAAAAGATTTCAAGTTTACTTAGGCGAAACATTTGCTGTCTATAGTTCTATCTGCCAAATATCAAAGTTATTCTTTTGCTGAAGTTGTAACTAACATATCAAGTGAGAAAGATGCCAGTTGTTAACTTACCAGTGGTGTTTTTCAGAATATGCGGTCAATCCCCAACTGCATCACACAGGAAGAAAACACACAAACATAGGTTAAAATCAATACAGTGTTGAAAACAGGATTAGTGAGACTTTATGGTAAGAATGCATAATAGAACAGAATTCCATAAATTGCACAACTTAGATAAATGTGAATGCTAAATTTTTAAGTATTTGGCTACAGATTCATATATAGGCTGAAGAGATACAGAGGGAAGAAGGTTTGTGAAGTTAAGGAGTGGGGGGGTATCTTTGAGAAGATACATTAAATTGAATCAAGCCAAATGTCTATGAAAAGACTGAAATAAGATTATATATATATGCCCACATACTGATATTGGGGGAAATTAAAGAATGTGACAACTATAACACAGATATATGTAGCTGGGCTTAGAAATCAAGTGTGGAGGCAAAAGTGAGGAAATTTTCAGTAATAGAACCTCAGAGGCAAGCATATAGAGCTCATTAAAGTGATGTTCATGATATTAAGTATTAATGCAAACATTTTTTTTTAGCTAATCAGAGTGATCTGTGATTTTAAAAAATAGTGGTATAAACCAAATGAAGGGTGAATCAAGTGTTAGAGGTACACTGCGCATAAGAGGGGTCTACCTCTTCTCTACCACATATATGCTATGGGTTCAGTACCAAATTTGGCACAATAAAAAGGAAAAATTACAGAGCTAGGACCAAAACATTCTCAAAACCAAGCATCAGGAGGCTAGAGGGCAATATATGCTTTCTTGTGTGTAGACTTGCCTGGGACAGTCTGTCTTGCATGCAGGCTTGCCTGAAACACCCCCAGGTTGTGATGTGACTGATCAAGGAATGTGATACAGAAGAAAGCATAAACTTCCTGGTGGGCAAGGTTTCCTTGGATTTCTTGCTTTACATAGCAGAGATCATAATCACCAAGGAGCTTGACTATAGTCACAGTGGGGACATCCTTCCTCCTTATCTACTTACACAAGTTCCTAGATCTGCCATAGAACCCCTATGACAGGCAAAGCAACTTCAGGAATTTGTCTAAAACTTACTTTATAAAAAGTTAGACTAATGCCGCTGATCCCTAAATCCCTGAGACTTATTTTCCCAAAAAAAAAAAAAAAAAAAAATTTCCACAGTACTTCTCTTTCAAGCTTTACCTTGTTGGGGGCTTCATTTTCTTTTTTACTCCAAGATAAAACTTCATTGAACTGAGAGAAAACATTTTGTCATGTTTACCGCTCTGCAAGGAAAACAAAATAATTTGTAATTAAACAGATTTTATAAATTGCCTTATATTTTCCTTAACCATTAATGACTGGGTTCATTATTTTCTCTTGAATACCCTGCAATCAATATGCTTTATGAAGATAATAGTCATGGATCTAATTTACAATATAGCATTCCCCATAACCTAAGAATTCTTAAGAAAATCTCTGGTCTCAAACTGGTAAGAAGAATTTGTAACGAAGCAAGGTGTTTGGGAGTCACAGAGACCTGTATATAAATATGGCTTGCACAATAGCAAAAATATGAAACCAATTGTGCTGCCCATCAAAAGGGGACTGGATAAAAAAAAATGTGGTACATATACATGATGGAATATTATGCAGCCATAAAGAAGAACAAAATTATGAACTCCTCAACAAATTGGATGGACTTAGAGTCTATAATACTGAGTGATCTATTACAGAAACAAAAGAACTGAGTATTACATGTTTTCACTCATAAGAGGACTCTGAACAATTGTCATAATAATATAAGAAAGGGATGGGCAGTAGTGGGAAACTGCTGGCAGGTCGGGAGGAGGGATATGCCTAATTAGCAAGGGTACCTGCATAATGACCATTTGTATACCTGACCCTGAATTGTACGCCACATTTTTAAAATTAAAAAAAAAAAAGTAACTTGAACTCCTCCCCCAAAATAAATAAATAAATCTGGCTTGCTACTTACTAGCTTGTGACATCACATTACTTTTTTCTGCCCTCATTTTCTTGTTTTAAGTAGGTATAATAAAAACATTAATCATTTCATTGTATTATTTTGAAGATTAAATAAGAAAATTCAAAGTGTGAAGGGTTATTATATTAAACATGAAAATGCCCATAATTGGCTTATAGTAAATGCACAGAAAATTACTGCTACCATTATAAATTTAGAATATGGCATCTGATAAAAATTGCAATATAGATGTACTTAGGATCCCAGGGAAATGAACTAAAGCCTAAGTAGCTCTACTAAGTACTAAGTTCCATATGAGTTATAATATCACTATGATATTTTTTCTTTATGAAACCAGTCAAATTTGAAAAGTATAAGGAGGAAAATATGTTTATAAAATATGTTAATTAAAAATTGGTTTCCATGGAGCAAACAGGTTAAGAGGATATAAGGGAACTGTAGAAAAAAAATAAGGAATATGATCAAGAATAATGATATGGTGACCACAGGGCTGAAATATACATTATAAATTTATTCATAATCACAATTATCAAGTTTGCTATTATCATTGTAGATAAGTTTTTTTTATTTTTAAAACATATTTTGAAATTTTTTCCCTTATAGCTTATCTCTAGACATGGAACCACTCAGTCACAGGCTTAGAAAGTGATTGAGAGTAAGATCTTGGCTAAATTGACAGAGAATATTTACCTATAGTTAAATGTGTATTTCTGTATTTGCTAGCCATTTTCAGTTTTGATGTGGTCAATAACTTATCTACGACTTTACTTATTTGTTTTTACTAGTTCTTTATATATTAAATATGAAATTGCCTTATCTAATGAAAGATTCTATTTCAGTTGCTATTTGCCTTAATTTAGCTCATTGTTTACCTTTATGATTCCTGTGATGTCAAATATATTGATTTTTTTTTGGACCTTCTTAACTTCTGAGAATTCCCACACAGCTGATAATCAATTTCATGGTCTTATAGCTTTAAGGGTTGCTCTTTTTTTTAGGTTTTAATTCTTTCATCAATCTATAATATATGTCTAGGACCTGATGGACTCACAGCTGAATTCTACTAGATCTTCAAAGAAGAACCGGTACCAATTTTACTGAAGTTATTCAACAAGATTAATGAGAAGGAATCCTCCCTAACTCATTCAATGAGGTCAGTATCACTCTGATACCAAAGCCAGGAAACGATACAACAAAAAAAGAAAACTGTACACCAATATCCCTTATGAACTGATACAAAAGTCCTCAACAGAATATTGGCAAACCAAATTCAACAGCACATTAAAAATTAAAAACAAGCAGGACTCGGTGGCTCTGCCTGTAGTCCTGCGCCTTTGGGAGGCTGAGGTGATAGATTGCCTGAGACCGTGGGTTCGAGAACCCCCTGGGCAGCGAGACCTCATCTCTACAATAAAAAAAATAAAAAATAAAAAAATCAGCCGGGCGTGGTAGCGCATGCCTGTAATTCCGGCTACTTGGAAGGCTGAGGGGGAAGGATCGCCGGAGCCCAGCAGGTCGAGGCTGTGGTGGCCAGGAGCAGCCACTGCACTGCAGTCTGGGCGACAGAGTGAGATTCCAACTCAAAAAAAAAAAAAAATTAAAAACAAAAGTCATATGATCATTTCAATAGGTGCAGAGAAGAAATTTGATAAAATTCAGCATCTCTTCATTATAAAAACCCTCAGCAAAAAAGGCATAGAGGAAACATTCCTCAAAATAATAAAAGCCATATATGACAAACTCATTCAGTGTCATCCTGAACAAAGAAAAGGTGCATGCATTCCCACTCAGAAATGGAACAAGACAAGGATGCCCACTTTCACCACTCCTATTCAACATAGTACTGGAAGTCCTAGCCAGAGAAGTCAGGCAAGAGAAAGAAATAAAGGGTATTCAAATTGAAAAAGAAGAAATCAAATCATCTCTGTATGTCAACAATATGATCTTATATCAGAGAATCCTAAAGACTCCTTCAAAAGACTCCCGGACTTGATAAATGAAATTTGTTACAGTTTCAAGATACAAAATCAACACACACGAATCAGTAGCACTGCCATACACCAATGGTGACCAAGCTAAGAATCAAATCAAGAACTCAGTTCCAATAACAGACAAAAAGCTAAAAGACCTAGAAATATATTTAACCAAGGAGGCAAAATATCTCTACAAGGAGAGCTACAAAACTCTGATGAAATGAACTATAGAGGACACAAACAAATGGAGAAACATCCCATTGCTCATGCATTGGAGAATCAACATTGTTAAAATGACTCTATTACCCAAAGTAATCTACAGATTCAATGCAATCCCTATCAAACTACCAATGTCATTTTTCACAGAATTAGAAAAGCAAATTCCCAAAATTCACAGGGGACCAAAAAAGAGCCAGAATAGACAAAACAATCCTAAACAAAAAGAACAAAGTTGGAGGCATCACATTAACTAAATTCAAATTATACTACTAGGTTATAGTAACGAAAACAGCATGGTACTGGTACAAAAATAGACACATGGACCAATGGGACAGAATAGAGAATCCAGAAATAAATCCAAATAAAACACCTAAAACCAATTGATCTTCAACAAAGCAAACACAAACATACACTAAGGAAGGGACAGACAGTGCTGGAAAAATTGAATAGCTACATGCAGAAAAATGAAACTTGATATCCTTCTCTCCTCATATACAAAAATTAACTGAAGATGGATTAAATACTTGAATATCAGACCTAAAATGATAAAAATCCTAGAAGAAAACCTAGGAAAAACTCTTCTGGACACCAGCCTGGCAAAGAATTTATAGCTAAAACCCCAAAGCAAATGCAACAAAAACAAGAATAAACAAATGGGACTTAAGTATCCTAAAAAGCATCTGCAGAGCAAAAGAAATACCAGAGCAAATAGGCAACCTACAGAACAGGCAAACATATTTGCAAACTATACATTTGACAAAGGACTAACATCTAGAATCTACAAAGAACTCAAACAAGTCAGCAAAAAATACAAAATAAAACAAAAAACAAACAAATAACCACATTAAAAAGTGGGAAAACCGCCAGGCTCAGTGGCTCAGCCTGTAATCCCGCGCTTTTGGGAGGCTGAGGTGAGTGGATTGCCTGAGCCCGTGGGTTCAAGACCCACCTGGGCAGCGAGACTTCATCTCTACAATAAATAAAAAAATCATCCAGTCGTGGTAGCACATGCCTGTAATTCCGGCTACTCGGAAGTCTGAGGCGGAAGGATCGCCGGAGCCCAGCAGGTCGAGGCTGCGGTGGCCGGGAGCAGCCACTGCACTCCAGTCTGGGCAGCAGAGTGAGACTCCAACTCAACAAAACAAAACAAAACAATAGATTCTGGTGCGGATGCAAAGAAAAGGGAACGCTTATACAATATTAGTGGGAGCGTAAATTAGTACAACCTCTATGGAAAGCAGTATGGAGACTTTGCAAACAACTAAAAGTAGATCTCTACCATTTGACCGAGCAATTCTACTACTAGGTATTTACCCAAAGGAACAAAGGTCATTGTATGACAAAGACACCTGCACTTGAATGCTCACTGTAGCACAATACACAATTGTAAAGTTGTGGAATCAACCTAAATGCCAATCAACTGATCAGTGGATGATGAAAATGTGGTATGAATACACTATGAAATACTATTTGCTATCAAAAATAATGAAATAATGTCTTTTGCACCAACTTGGATGGAATCGGAGAACATTATCCTAAGTGAAATAATTCAGTAACAGAATATCAAACACAGCATGTTCTAACTGATAAGTGAGAGACACAGAAAACAGTATAATGGACACTGGAGACTCAGAAGGGGGGAGGGAAAAGAAACCACCTATTGGGCACAATGTGCACAGGTGGGGGTGGTGGATACACTTAAAGTCTAGACCAAAAACTATCTGTACCCCACATGACTATTGAAATAAAAATAAATACATAAATAATTCTTAAAAATCTGGAATGCATTTTTTATACAGTACAAATGAGAATTCAAATGGAAATTTTAAAAAAAAATTATTCCATCTGAATTTATTGAAGAAGCATTCCTTTAGATATATAATTTTTACCTGAATTTATGGCATCATTGCTCTCTGTTCACTTCACACCAGGATTATAATATTTAAGCTATTTTAGTCTTATTGTATACCTTAATAGTTAGAAAAAGTACTTCACAACAATTTTTCTTTTTATCTCCTCAAAATGTTTGTAATTATTCTTATCGTTTAATCTTTGAGGCAAATTATAAAATCATTTTTTCAAGATT